GCTCCTCTTGCTGCAGGAGTCCCCAGAGTGCATAACCTTGCCTAACTTCAGAAATAGTTTTTTTTTTTTTTAAAATTCAAGTTTTGTATTACTTTCTCATCTTCCCTATTTTTTTTTTTTTTTTTTTTGGGTTTGGTTTTTCAAGACAGGGTTTCTCTGCATAGCCCTGGCTGTCGTGGAACTCACTTTGTAGACCAGGCTGGCCTTGAACTCAGAAATCCGCCTGCCTCTGCCTCCCAAGTGCTGGGATTAAAGGAGTGCACCACCACTGCCCGGCTCCCTGACTTCTAATACTTGTTCAGCACTTGAAGAACATATAGAAACCCATGAAAATTACAATGACATTTTCTGGGCTGGCCTCCAACTAGCAGAAGATGACTTTGAACTGCTGATCCTCCCTGCTTCCAACTCCTGAGAGGGTTATTACAGGAGCGCACTTCTCCACTCAGTTTAACATGTGCTAGAGACAACACCAGAGCTTCACACGTGCTAACAAGGACTCCCCAGCAGAGGCAAGTCCATAGTGCCCTGCATTTCTACATTTCAGAAAAATGATAAAAAAGAATATTTAACCCCAAGCATAAGAGAAATACATATTTTAATATCCATTGTCTTTTTAGCATTAGCAGTGAGTCATACAATTTTCCTGTTTGCATTTCATCACGACTGGACCTTTTTCCCCCTGATTAAAGGGAATATTTCAATACACAGCTTTCAGCTGTCCAACTTTGATTTCCCAATCCTCTGTGTGTCATTTTCTTCTAATTGCATTTCTAGGATATCACTCCAAAGACTACTTCCTTTCTTATCCGCACAACTGATTAACAACTATAATTATTGTAAGTTCTCCTCATCTTACAGCAATGCACCCCTCCTTCCTCCAAATGACTGACGGATGTGATCAGCACTTCAGATGGCTTCTCTACATATGCTCTTCAAAAGTTAGGTGGGGGTTGAGTGGTGGCTCATGCTTTTAAGGCCAGCACTTGGGAGGCAGAGACAGGCAGATTTCTGTGAGTTTCAGGACAGCCAGGGCTTCATATTGAGACTGTTTGAACCTTCCAGTATATGTGTGTGTGTGTGTGTGTGTGTGTGTGTGTAACTAAAATTTCTTTGATGAAACTTGAACTCACCAGTTGACTGGCCTGGCTGACCAATGAGTCCTAGAGAATCACCGTGTTCAGCTTTTTACTTGGGTGCTGGGGTTCCAAACTCAGGTCCTCATGTCTGCATGCCAAGCACATTACCCACTGAGCCATGGCCCCAGCTCCTGGTACTTGTTGGTTTTTTTGTTGTTGTTGTTTTGCTTTTTTCCTGGCAACAGGATCCACACTATGTCATCCAGACGCTATATTTTTTGTGAATGAGGATTTTGCCTGTATGTATGTCTGTGTACTGCATGTATACCTCATGCTCAGAGAGGTCAGAGAAGGGTGCCAGATGTCCTGGAATTGGAGCTTCAGATGTTTCTGAGCCCCATGTGGGCACTGAGAATGGATCTTGTGTGCTCTGAAAGAGCAGCAAGTTCTCAGAACCCCTGCTCTATTTCCTCAGCCCCTAGACTCTGTTCTCACTCCTCCCCCCACCCCCTTCCCCAAGTGCTGGGATTCCAGGCACTGACACACACATCATCCTTTGTCTTGTTTTTTTTTGTTTTGTTTTGTTTTTTGTTTTTTGTTTTTTTTGAGACAGGGTTTCTTTGTCTTGGAACTCACTCTGTAGACCAGGCTGGCCTCGAACTCAGAAACCCGCCTGCCTCTGCCTCCCAAGTGCTGGGATTAAAGGCGTGCGCCACCACTGCCTGGCTCATATCATCCTTTTGTTTGTTTGTTTGTTTGTTTAAGATTTATTTTATGTATGAGTTCACTATTCCAGCTGGTTGTGAACCACCATGTGGTTGCTTGGAATTGAACTCAGGACCTCTGGAAGAGGAGCCAGTGCTCTTAACTGCTGAGCCATCTTTCCATCCCCCACATCATCCTTTTTTAAAGGCAAACATCTTAGTAGACGCCTAAAGCTTTTTATAATGTGCACTAATTTATGTCATCCAGGCACTAACTGTGTAACTACTGATCCCGTTTCCCATCTCCCCTCCCTGCCTCAGGCTTTGGAATTCCAAGTCAGATTATTCAGTGACAGAAAGATTTATGTTGGCACTTGCTCCCTCCCGTCTGCATCGTCTGTCCTTGATTTTATTTCCAAGTTTAATTCTCTAAATTTCCCATCGTGTCTAAGAACCACCCATATTTCCAATAAATTCTCTTTTTTGCTTACATTAGTTGAGTCAGTTCTTGGCTTGAGGGAAAACACACACACACACACACTCACACACAGAGGACGCATTGATGCCCTCCACCTCTTTGCCTTGCCTCTCACCATTGTATTGTGTGTTTGCTCCTCTCGACAGGGAAATTCTTCTCCTGCCATAGAGCACTGCCTCCTACCTCTCAAGAAGCTAGTCCACACACCTCAGAACGAGTAAAAGTATCATCTCCTCTCTAAATCTTTTCTGTCTCTCTCAGCATTAGCTTGAGCTGGTATGTCTTGACTATAAACTGTGATTTTACTTAAACATTTTTATTCTTGTCTCCTACAAGACCCTAAGGGTTTTTGGTTTATTTAGGGGGGGGGAACTTATATCTGTCACTGATGGATTGAACTCAGGTCATTAGCCTTAGTGGTAAGCAAGGCTTATACCCATTTTTTTCTTTAGGGAAAATATTTATGGGGCTAGAGAGACAACTTAACTGTTAAGAGGACTGGCTTCTCTTCCAGAGGATCCAGGTTCAGTTCCTCCCAGCACTCATGTGGCAAGTCCACACCTGTCAGTAACACCAATTTCAAGGGGTCTGATACTGTCTTATGGTCTCTGTGGGTACCAGGCATATATGTGATACACATACATATATACAAAAATGTTCATACATACTAAATAATAAAATCATTTTTAAAATAGAAAATATTCAGCATGCAGCAAGGAGACAATGGGTGGTGGCGGGGGAGATAGGTTAGCAGTTATGAGTATTGGCCGCTCTTCCAGAAGACCTTTCCATCAGGTACATGATGGCTTATAACTCCAGTTATTAGGAGATCCAGTGCTCTTTTCTGGCCTCCTGAGTGCTACATGCATGAGGTACACTGACATACGTACACAATAACCCTACACATGAATACGTAAATGATCTACGAAGAGAACAGAATCTAAGTAGTAACTAGAGTCCCACCTGCAGCCCATTTCCCCCTCTGTTTTTGTTGCCATAAAATTGTAATGTTTAATCCCCTCTTCCTTTTCTTAAGGAACAACAGTGACAGCTGTTAGACGTAAACAGCTGAGGGATCATCTGTGACAGTGTAAACTAGAGGCCAGTAAGTGAAGCCTTGGGCTTTGACGCCTCCACATCACATCCTCAGTGTCAGTCACTACTTGTGCATTCTGGAGCTCTCAAATTCCCCCAGTGCATCCCTGTTTACAGCTTGAAAGCCACCTGACAGCTAAAGCCTGAGTACTTTAAGTAAGAACTCTGTAACAACAACAAAGCAAGGCCACCAGCACTGAGGGACAAGTTCCAGGAAGGAGGAGGAGAGAGCCCTCCTTATTGTGTAGCCTGATGGGACGCCATCCATCCATCATTAATTCTTTCTCTGACATCATACATGTATCTAAGGTACTGTGATTAATCTCCCTACTAGCTCCTTTAACAGATTCATAGCTTTTGGTCTTTTATGAGACCCATTTTAATTTTACTAGGGCTAACTATGTGACCTCTGGTCTGGAACTACTCACTGCAGCCTGGTGGGGTCACTGTTGTTTGTGTCATTACTTGCGTACTAATGACATGGATTCCCTTCTCACATAATCTGTCAGCACTGACAGGTATGCCTGAGGCCCAAGCTTCACTGGCAGGCTCATTCTTATTGAGCTATTGTTTTCTTTTTCAAGACGGGGTCTCACTGTGTAGCCCTGGTTGTCCTGGAACTTGCTCTGTAGACCAGGCTATCCTGGAACTTAGATCCACTGGCCTCTGTTTCCCAAGTGCTGGGATTCAAAGGCATGTGGATCTTTTTTCTTACTTTAGGTGATAGGCCCATTCTTGTGTAGTCATTTGCAGCTGTTGTGTGGGTTGCAATGGCTGTGTCTTTCCCAGAAGAAGGTATTTGTAACCCTCTGTCCCTGGCTCCTCATCTTTCTACCTTTGCCTTGTTCCCTGAGCCTTAGAGGAAATGGCAGAAATGTCTCGTTTAGGGCTGGGGTCCGATGCCCTTGTCTGCTTCCTAATTCTGTTTTTGAGACAGGCTTTCTCTCTGTAGCCCTGGCTGTCCTGAAACTCACTCTGTAGACCAGTCTTGCCTTAAACTCAGAGATCTGTCTGCCTCTGCCTCCGCCTCCCAAGCCCTAGGATCAAAGGTGTGTGCCACCACTGCCTGGCCTTCCTCTGGTTCCTGAGAGCACATGGTGCAGATACACATGCAGACAAAACACTCATAAAATAAAAATTAAAAACTTTCATTTTAAAATCCCTGGTCTCCTGTGCCCAGGTAGACTTTGAACTCAGTACATAGCTGAGAATGATCTTGAGTTTTGGATCCTCCTGCTTTGCCCTCTCAAATGCTAGGATTACAGGGATGGCCATTACATCCTGCTTTGGTTCTGGAAATCTGAGAGGGAACAGTAATTCCTTCAGTGACTCCATAAAACAATTGTTGTCCAGTGCTAATCCTGGACTGTCCCTGAACCCCCAAGGTGCACGGACAGTCCTGTAACAGGAGATTAATAGATTTTTTTTTTAAAAAATTAGTGAAGGAGTGTCTTCCCCATGCAGCCTAAGTTGGCCTCAAACGCCCATCCATCCCTGTCTAACCTCCCAAGTGCTGGGCTTAGAGGTGTGCACCACTGTATCTAGCTAGAATACAAATTTCTAAACAAGACTCTAGACCTAGAAGTTGAAATATTACCCTAAAATTTTTATACTCTCACTCAAAAAAGAGAAAAGGAGATGATCTGATGCCAAGGCAGGTTTATTGATGTGTGTACCCACAAATGCCCTCATTTCAGGCTGTGCTTTTTAATCTAAGAAAGTTAACACCTCTAGGCAAGTACAATGAACTCAGATTTTACATTTACCAGAAGGAAATAACAACAAAGACATTAGCGCCCTGGTCTCTTAGGATATAATGTAAATTGAGAGAATGCCCCCTACAGCGGCATCACCTGTTCTCTGCCCCCATAGGACACACAAAGTGCACAGTTCAAGTAAGGTCTTAAGGAAGAGCCGGCGGAATACATTTCTAACCTGTGTGTAAGTTTTTACATCTACTTCAATCTAAAGGCAAAACAAAACAAACCCAAACAAAAACATACACCTTTTGTTTTTCGGTGATGCTACGGACTGAACTAGTGGTCTGTGTAGCTGCCCCAGCTCTCCGCTGCCCACAGGAGCTGCCCTACAACATTCCTAAACCAAATCCTCCAGACACTGAGCCCGAGCTTTTCTTCTTCAAATCCTCTAAACCTAAAGAAGTACGCATCAGCTACTGAGACTATTTCCTCACACACTGATGGAAAATTTGACCTCACCCATTACTGCTCTCCTTAGGCCCCTCCTAATCCAGACAGGATTCAGCACTAATCTTGAGGCCACCATTTTCCCAGAAGCCTGTGGCTGAGACCTAACCCACCTACCCCATGAGAAACTCACAGGAACTCTATTGGCCTCAGCGACAAACCTTAAATCCTAAAATAGATTTAGAGATGGACTTATCCATGAATCTGTCTTCTCCAGGGCTGGACAGGGTGGAAGTGTAGAAACCATAGCTTTTTCAGGAAGATGGAAGGTGTCACTTGGTGTCTCCCAGGTTTCCTGAGGAAGAGAAGGTGACACCAAAGTGTCTTCCCTTGGGCTTGTTAAAGCTCCCTTATTTTCCACCAGCAGCAACTGCTCTATCTCCTCTTTCAAAGAAAAATGTGATTGACACGTCTGCATGGGAGGCAGGGAGCAGGCTTCCTTGGCTCTCAGGGCTTCTGGCCCCGCTGACTCCCAACTCACTGATTTGTTCTCAGAGTCCTCGCAGGCTTTGCCTTCCTTCCTGGGAGGCAAAATTTGAGACTTTGCTGTGGTTTGTTTAGATTCTTTATCCAAAAAATTCTCATCCATATGAGATTCCTGACATATAAAGTGTGGAACTTGGTCTACACCAGACGTCTTACAAAATAAGAAACCCTGGACTCGCTCGTCCTTCCCTGCTGTGCGAGCTGCTGGCTCCTTTGGGTGCAGCAGTGTCCTTATGAGGAGGCCCTGTGCGTTCACTCTGTACTCCTTTGCAGCTCGCTCTCGGCGCTGCTTCTGGAAGTCCTGGAGTTGAAGCAGCTCTGCCGGCAGCTCCATACATGCAGGCTAGGAAAGCAAAGAAGCACAGGTTTACAAAGGCCTTAACGTGACCCCTGAAAGCCCGCAGACAGGCAAATGAATTTACTCAAATGTGCTCCTGTAGTGCCATCTAGTGTTTTCAATAAAATTACTATTTAAAATTTTTGATTGTACTGTTTTTGAGTAATTTAAGTATTTAAGAAAATTAAATATATATGTGTGTGTGTAAATAAGGAAAATGTGACTTTCCCAACATGACTTCATTTGACTTAGAAGGTGCGCCCTCTGAAAAGCTGTAGTATCCAGGTACTAGTGAGCTCCAATAGTGTCGTCCATGTACACGTGAGCTCTGGTGTGTGTGAATGATTGTACTAAATGACTTCTGTGTGTGGTAACTGGGATCCCACCTAGGCTTTGTACAAGGTAGACAAGTAGTCTACCACTGACCTACATCCCAGGTTCTAGATTACATGTCAATCCCCTCCCCAAATATGAATTTTTATAACTTTATTTTTTTATTTTTTAGGTTTTTTCGAGACAGGGTTTCTCTGTGTAGTCCTGGCTGTTCTGGAACTCACTCTGTAGACCAGGCTGGCCTCGAACTCAGAAATCCGCCTGCCTCTGCCTCCCAAGTGCTGGGATTAAATGCGTGCGCCACCACTGCCCGGCATAACTTTATTTTTTCCAGTATCTTTTTTAGGGGGAAGGGTCTCATCATCATGTAGCCCACAGTGATATTATACTAACTCACCATGTCCTGGCCCCAGCCTCCTGAGGACAGGTGTGTGCTGCTTTAGTATATTCATATATTTTGGGGCAGTTTGCTGCTATTTGTTTTAAAGCTAGGTCTCATGTAGCTTGGGCTGGCATAGAATTCACCGTGTAGCCGGGCGGTGGTGGCGCACGCATTTAATCCCAGCACTTGGGAGGCAAAGGCAGGTGGATTTCTGAGTTCAAGAGTTCGAGGCTAGCCTGATCTACAGAGTGAGTTCCAGGACAGCCAGAGCTATACAGAGAAACCCTGTCTCAAAAAAACCAAAAAAAAAAAAAAATAATAATAATAATTCACCGTGTAGTACCAGATGACCTTGAATTTCTGATCTTCCTGGGAGCAGAGGTTACAGGTGTGAGACACCATGCCCAGTTTATGTGGTTGTCAAACCCAGGACTTCATGCATACTAGGCAAGCAAGAACTCTTCCAAATTAGGTACATCCGTAGCTTTACTATCTTATTATTTTTAATATAAAGATCTGTCTTGAAGATTGTCCCATATTAGCACCTCTAAGGGTTATACATATATGTCATTACTTTACTAACCTTAATGGTATCACAAGACTGTAATCTCAGCTGCTCAGGATGGAGACAGGACAGACACCAAGGCCATCCTAAGACAACTCAGTCAGACCTTTGCTTAAGACAAAACTTTAGAAAGGTCTATGCATGTAGTTTATTGGTAGAGTTTGCTGAGAATGTGTGAGTCCTAGTGATCTCTAGCACTGCAAACATACAACCACACAAGTAAGTTCCCAGAAACAGTAGGTATCGCTGTGTTCAAGGTGAGGAAGAGGCAGAGAACACACCCACAGAAAGCTGCACCTACCTCTATGCCTGCAAGCCGGTCTGCAGAACCTTCTCGGTAGGCATTCAGGTACCCATCCACCAGTGTGGTTAAGTCTGACATCACCTCATCCAGGAGCACCAATCGAAGTGGAAGCAGGTAGGTTGTCTCCAGGGCCAAGATTTTCAATAAAGAGGGTGGAAGAGGTCTTGTCAACCATATTTCTGGATTTTCCTAAAGACAGCAAAACAATTTCTTTTTTTCTTTCTTTCTTTCTTTTTTTTTTTTTTTGTTTGTTTTTCGATACAGGGTTTCTCTGTGTAGTCCTGGCTATCCTCAAACTCAGAAATCTGCCTGCCTCTGCCTCCCAAGTGCTGGGATTAAAGGCGTGCGCCACCACCATCGCCCAGCTTCTTTTTTTTTTTTAAGAATTATTTATTTATTTATGTTTATATGTCCACTGTAGCTATCCTCAGACATACCAGAAGAGGGCATCTGATCCCATTACAGATGGTTCTAAGCCACCATGTGGTTGCTGGGAATTGAACTCAGGACCTCTGAAAGAGCAGCCAGTGATCTTACCCACTGAGACATCTCTCCAGCCCCAGCAAAACAATTTCTAATTAATACTAAGTAAAATTTAGCTGGGCAGTGGTGGGTGTGCCTTTAATCCCAGCACTTAGGACACAGCGGCAGATCTGAGTTCGAGGCCAGTCTGGCCTACAGAATGAGTTCAAGGACAGCCAGGGCTACACAAAGAAGTTCTGAAACCTTTTCTCTAAAAACAACAACAACAAAGTAAATTTTTTTTTATAAAAAATGACTGTTTTTAGTTGCTTAAGTTAAAACGCTGTCATTTTCTTCTATTGCTTTCTATTTTCACATATCCGTGGCCTTCGTGCAGTGTCCCTCCCCCCAGTACACAGACAGCATCTGTGAGTCAGAGAACAGGAGGGCTGGGAAGAAGGCTGGTGTGTCTGAACTTCTTATTCCAAGCTGGAGGCAGCAAGCTAGGCATGTAGCTTGCCTACTGTGTCTAGGATTTCATTCCCAGTACCATAAAACTGGGAGGGCTAGGGATCAGCTGTAGAGCACTTGCTTGTCATAAACAAAGTGCTGAGTTCTATCCCCAGCAGCATTAAAGGAAAAATGCTGGAGCAAATAGACTTTAGCATATGACCAACTGTAGGTAATAAATACAGCTACAATCCAGGTCTGCATGTAAGGATATTATGCTCTAAGGGAAATTATTGATATGGCTTTGGGAAAAGCAACTAAGATGATTTTGGTTCCAATATCTTAATTTGAGTACTTTTTAATTTATAACCAACTAATCTGGACCCTGGCTTCTGTCCACTTGAAACCACAGACTGCGCCTCACTGGTACATCGAAGACTCTGGCAAAGCTCATCACTTCTCTATCCAACGGGCTAACAGTCCTGTGCAGAGCACACCTGAAATTTGACAACACATCTTTCAATACTTACCTGAATACGTTTCTTTCTCTCTTCTAAAAAGAAAAGGTATTTGGGAGCAACTTTAAGGTGTCTGATTAAACTCTCCTGCAAAGTACTGATACAGTTTGGAAGAAAGCCACCCGTTGCCATAGAAAACTGAAGGACATCAGCTACCTGAGGTATGAAACAGAAAACAATCACACAACAAAAGAGGATTAGGTAATACACAGAAAAGGATCTCACCTCAGAGGAATTCTGGGAGAACTGACACCTTGACTTCTCACCTATAGGAGCCTTCTCACCTATAGGAGACCTTATAAAAACTATAGGAGTGAAAATCAAAGCGGTCATGCTCAAGTTGTGATCAGTTATAGCAACAATGCTTGTCTGATGTGCAGGGCTCTGAGTTTATTCCACAGAAAGGAAAAATATTTATGCTGATGGCTCCCTGAGAACAATGAAGATTCCCCCTTAGACTTTGGGAGTAAGCATGGCACAAAAGCACTGTTAATACTGTGTACTGAAAGATTCTAAAAGAAGGCCCAAAGGAACTGCAAACATAAGAAATGGTACAAACTTTGTAAGTAGAAGAGTAAAAATGAGCTACATATTTAAACAGGACACTAAAATTTTAGGAATTGATCCTCAAAAATAAAAATCAATCCCCAAAGGAAAAAAGATCAAGGAAAGGAGAGAAGGGAAGAGGAAGAACAGGAGGGAGAGGAGAGAGCACCACTTCGACCAGTGACTTTAGTATCTCAGGGTCAAATCTGATACCAGAAGAGGTTTAAGAACAGGGCTAGGCGTTTCTCATTTCTTTAAGGTCCCTTGCAAGAATCAAATCAGATCTCATCAAGATATTATTCTGAAGCCAGGCGGTGGTGGCGCACGCCTTTAATCCCAGCACTTGGGAGGCAGAGGCAGGCGGATTTCTGAGTTCGAGGCCAGCCTGGTCTACAGAGTGAGTTCCAGGACAGCCAGGGCTACACAGAGAAACCTTGTCTCGAAAAACCAAAAAAAAAAAAAAAAAAAATTATTCTGAGCCATATAGGTTTTTTTTCATTTTTAATAAATAATTTACTTACTTTGTTTTACACATATGTTAGCCTGCATGTATGTATGTGCACCATATGTGTACCTGGTGCCTGCAGATGTCAGAAAAGGGCATCAGTTCCACTGAAGCTGGAGTTACTGATGGGTACATAGGTGCTGGGAACAAAGCCCAGGTTCTCTGCAAGAACAGCCTGTGCTCGTAACCACTGAGCCATCTTGCTAGCCCCATAATAGGTTTTTTTGAGGAGGAATATAGCAGCTTCAGCAACCTACACCCTGAGGTAAACACTTTTAAAAAAAAGGTGCACTTATTCATTTCATCGTAAGTCAACTTCTTAAGCTTCTGGGTGTCATGGGGCACCCACCTTCCTTTTTTTACAATTCTAGAGCAAAAAGAGATGACTTCCTCCTCAATGTTTCTAAGTAACTTTTCCATACAATTTTTATAGCTCACCAAATGTTCTCACAAGTTACACACACAATTCATGTGATAAACGGGCAGGAATGGGCACCAGGAAAAATAGGCTCATTTTTCTTTTTTTTAGGGTCTCCCTCAATAGCATTGGATGATGTAAAGCTCTCTATGTAGACCAAGCTAGCCTTCAACTCACAGGGATCCACCTGCCTCTGCTTCTCTTCTAGAAGTAAAACCATGCGCCACCACACCTGCACAGTCATTTCTCAGACAGGGAGTCTTTCTTTCTTTTCTACCAGGCTCCTTGTGTGCTGGTCTGTCCTCTGCGTTCCCTTTATACCTGTGTGTCAAAGACATTGTTCAGCATAATTCCGTACTGATGTGACAGGCAATCTGAGAGCCAGCGACAATCATGGATAACCTAGGGTGTCAGAAAAGGAGACAGTTATTAGAGCCTGGCCACTGACCTCATCACCACAGGAGTCAGTGTCTACACTCACCTTTAAGATTCTCTTGTCTTCTAAGATCATCTGAAGTCCATTGTTGAAAGCACGACTTCCCAGAAGGAAAATATCAAACAAGTAAACTCGGCTGTTTGTGGCCACCTACAATAGACAACACTGCAGGGTAAAGACAGAGCAGAGGGCAGGGAATAAGCACAGGCCAGAGCAGGGGATCTGAGGACAAAATGAAATTCTGGGCATCCTCACTGTTGAGCTGGCAGTGGACATTCAAACAAAACTTACGAAGAACAGCTTTATGGGTCTGTTTTGTTCGTTTTTAATTTTTTCAAGTCAGAGTTTTTCTGTGTAGCCCTGGCTGTCCTGGAACTTACACTACAACTCAGAGATCTGCCTGTTCCTGCCTCCTGAGTGCTGTGAGGGATTAAAGGCCTGTGCCTCCACTTCAAGGCTTTTCCCCCCTTCAGACTGGGTCTCTTACTAGAAACGAGGCTAGACTAGCTAGCTAATAAATCCCAAGACCTGCCTGTTTTTGCCTTTCCTGGGATTACAAGCATGTTATATCACATTTGGCTTTTGAAGGTTGTGAGTTCTAGGTATAGAATTCAGGTCCTAACAACTGAACTATCACCCCAGCCCTTAAACACAATATTGACTAAAAAGTAATCACTCTTGTCCCTCTTGACAACTTTTCTTGGTGGTAGGTATCTGTACTGAAGACAGGAATATAGCAACTGAGAAGATGACAGAAAAAATTACTGAAGGCCCATGAGATGGCTGAGCTGGTAAAGGTACTTGCCGCCAACCCTGAGAACCAGAGCTCAACCCTAAGGAGGCACACAGTAGAAGAGACTGACTCCTGCAAACTGTCCTCTGACCTCCACAACACATGTGGTACCATCCCCAAATAGATACATGTAACATTGCTTACTTTATATATTTTTTTTTCTTTCTTTCTTTTTTTTTTTTAAAGACTTATTTATTTATTACATATGAATACACTGTAGCTGTCTTCAGACACACCAGAAGAGGGCATCAGATCTCATTACAGATGGTTGTGAGCCACCATGTGGTTGCTGGGATTTGAACTCAAGACCTCTGGAAGTGCAGTCAGTGCTCTTAACCACTGAGCCAACTCTCCAGCCCTTACTTTATATTTTTAATATATTATGTGCATGACTGTTTTGCTTCATTATGTCTGTGTACCACATGCATGCCTCGTATCCTCTAAGGTCAGATGTGGCCACTAGATTTCCTGCAATTGAAGTTACAAGTAGTTGTGAGCTGCCATGGGGTTGCTGAGAATTAACCAGGTTCTTCTGCAAGAACAGTAAGAGCTTTGAATCCTTGATCCATTTTTCAAATCCCCATTGGCTTCCTTTTTAAAGAGAGTAACTGAGTAATGGAAGAATGGCTATTCCTAGGGCTCAGGGTATATGTAGCTTGGTGAAGGAATGCATATCTAGGATGTACAAGGCTCTAGGTTCAAGCCCCCAGTACTTCCAGGAAAGAAAAAGAAACCAATAATGGAAATAAGTGAGTTATAGAATAGTTCATGAGTGGCAGCAGTGGCACATGCCTTTAATCTCAGCACTCTGGAGGTAGAGGCAGGTGGATCTCTGAGTTCAAGGACAGCCTGATCTACAGAGTGAGTTCCAGGACAACCTATTGAACAAAACCAAAGAAAACATTTTAGTTTTAAAAAATCTTTTGGCTCTTGGTAAGTGAGCTCTGCTGGGTTGGGGGCTGTCTCGCACCTAAGGCAGGAAGATGGTGGCCAAAAAGAAGGTGAAAAAGTCCCTGGAGTCGATTAACTCTAGGCTCCAGCTTTTTATGAAAAGTGGAAAGTACATGCTGGGGTACAAACAGACTCTGAAGATGATCAGACAAGGCAACGCGAAGTTGGTTATCCTCGCCAACAACTGCCCAGCTTTGAGGAAATCTGAAATAGAATACTATGCCATGTTGGCTAAAACTGGTGTCCATCACTACAGTGGCAATAATACTGAATTGGGCACAGCTTGTGGAAAATATTACAGAGTATGCACATTGGCTATCACTGACCCAGGTGATTCTGATATTATTAGAAGCATGCCAGAGCAGACTGGTGAGAAGTGAATAAGAAAGTTTTCCTTTAATAAAACTTTGCCAGAGCTCCTTTTGAAAAAACAAAAAAATCTTTTACCTGAAGCCAACAGAGTTTCCCATGGCGACACACATTAGCTCCTTCAGCAGCAACACTCAAGACACTCTGCTTCTTGATGTGGAGCATCTGTTAAGAAAAGGAACACACCTTTAGTCCCAGCACTTGGGAGTCAGAGGCAAGCAGATCAAGCAGTTTGAGGCCAGTCTGGTTTACAGAATGAGTTCTAGGACAGCCAGAGTTACACAGAGAAATCCTGTCTCAAACAAACACTAAAGAAAGGGAAGGTTTTGGAGGAATAGATGTCTTTTATGATATTGTGATGCTAACCACCATACTCTGACAAGTGATAAACACTGGGTTTGGGGGAAGGGCTAAGAAAGGGTCTCATACCTCAGGCTGACCTCCAACTAAGCTACTAAGTCCAAGCAGGTCTTATCCACTTGATTGTCTGTTTCTAACCCCCAAAGTGCTAAGATCATAAGAATGTAGCAAAATCATGTGTGTGTGTGTGTGTGTGTGTACATTCTCTTGTGAGTATGTGTGTACACCTGCATGTGAGAACAGAGATCCATGTCTTCCCCAGTCACTGCCCACCTTACATTTTTGAAGACAGGTTCTCAGTGAACATGGAACTCACTGGTTTGGTTAGACTAGCTGTCCAACAGCTCCAGGAATCTGCCCATCTCTGTCCCTCAGCAGTGAGGGAACAGAGGCTCATGCTCTGTTTTTATCTAGGTGCTGGGATCCTAACTCAGGCCTTCATGCTTGCACAGCAAGCATTTTTGCTGACTAAGGCATCTTCCCAGCCCCTGGATCATCTCCCTCCCCCCCCACCCCGCCACTCTCTCCGTTTTCCCAAGACGGGTTTTTCCATGTATTCCCGGCTGTCTGCCTGTACTGGAACTCACTCTGTAGACCAGGCTAGTCTTGAACTCACAGAGATCCTGCTTCTGCCTCCCCCCCCTCCCCCCACCCAAGTGCCTGGATTAAAGGTGTGTGCCACCAAATGGCATTTTTCATCACTTTTTTATGTAAATTGACTAACACAAGCCAGTTTGCTTCACGTATACACATAAATCACCATTGAACACACTTTCTCCTCAGTTCAGTCTTAGCAGAAGTATAAACACATACCTGGAAGGAAAATCACCAACACCCGAAATACTAATGGAAAGAACCTGCTAAAAGTCAGTTCTCCCTTCAAAGACATGTATACGTCAGGCCTGGTGGTTTCCATCTGTCTTCCCTGCTACTTTGGAAGCTAAGGAAGGATTGAGTTGGAGGGCACGCAGAGAATATTATGGAGGCTTTGTCTCTGAATCAGTAACAAATTAAAGTGACCCCTGCACACCCAATTATAAGTTTATATCCAACACAAAAGTTGGTGACTCTCCTGAAGTCCATCTGAACATGAGGACAGTTATTTCCTTTTTCCAAATCCATTGAGATAATACCTAAGCACTCTCTGGATGGTTCCTTTGAAACCGTGAGTCAGGAGCAGGTGTGGTGTGGTACTCCTGTAATCTGAGAGAGGTGGAGGATCAGGAGTAGGTCAAATGATGACATAGGTCAAACTCAGCTACACAGGAAGTTTGAGGCTGCACAGGGTACATGAGACCCAGTCTCAAAAATCCAATTGCTCTCTCCAAGGTCAGCCAGCCTGGTACGATGGGGCACACCTATAATCTTACTCTGGAGGGGCTGAGGTAGGCAGATCTGTTGTTCATGGCCAGCTAGAGGCACTCTTTTTTTTTTTTTTTTGGTTTTTTCGAGACAGGGTTTCTCTGTGTAGCCCTGGCTGTCCTGGAACTCACTCTGTAGACCAGGCTAGCCTCGAACTCTCGAACTCAGAAATCCGCCTGCCTCTGCCTCCCAAGTGCTGGGATTAAAGGCGTGTGCCACCACCGCCCGGCTGAGGCACTCTTTTTTGTTTTTTTGTTTTTTTTGGTTGGTTTGGTTTTTTGAGACAGGGTTTCTCTGTTGTAACCCTGGCTGTCCTGGAACTCACTCTGTAGACCAGGCTGGCCTCGAACTCAGAAATCCCCCTGCCTCTGCCTCCCAAGTGCTGGGATTAAAGGCATGTGCCACCACTGCCCGGCTTGAGGCACTCTCAAAAGTAAGTAAGTAAAGACAGGGGAGATGGCTCAGTGAGAAAAAAAAGTGCTTGCCTTACAAGCCTGATGACCTAAGGCAGTTCTAGGCTACCCTGGGCTAGCTCTGACTGAGCAGACCTGATGATCTAGGTTTGATGCAGTGGTGCACATCTATAAGTCACACATTCCTACTGTGCGATCGGTGATAGCCCAAGCATTCCTACTGTGTGATGGGTGACAGAGACAGGATAATCCCACAGAAGCATTGGGTCAGCTACCCTGAAGTGCACAGCACAGTAGCAGAAACAAGAAAGAAACTGCTTCAAATACTGAGGAAGAACTGATCCTGAAGGATGTCTGCTGACCTCCATATCCATGCCATTGCACTTATGCCTAAGGATACATACATAGGTACACATGTACATACATACATATACATATGTGTATGCATAAATAAAATTAAATTAAAAAAAACACTAAAGCATCTGGTGAGATGGTTCAGTGGTTGAAGGTTGGCTGTTTTAACAGAGGACCTGGGTTTGATTTCTAGTACCCACATGGCAGCTCACAACCAAATCCCAGAGAATCTGATGATGTAACAGATTTAGTAGGTCCCAAAACAGCACAACTGATTCATGGTGAAAGTACCATTAGGCTGTAAAACTCTGTATGTAGTCAGCAGCACCTGCCAAAACTAAAACACAGGTCTAATCCATCAAAGTCCATAGTCAGGAGAAGTCTCCATCAAAGTCCATAGTTAGGGCAAGTCTCTAAATGTACTAGCCTTGCTTTTTCCACTTCTAGCTAACTTTTTTTGTTAACTAAAATAGGCCAACCCAAGACACAGGTTTTGTGCTTAAAAGCTCACCCTGAGAAAGGCTTGGGCTACACTGGGATCCTGAACATCCAGTGTAATCACACTGGCTGGCTAATAAAGACATTTTATTGGCTTAACCCCATGTCAGAGCAGTCTTCTTTGGTGAATACCCCACAACAATGCCCTTTTCCGGACTCCACATACACTATCTGAATGTGATACACAAACATACATGTAAGCAGAACACCCAAACACAGAGTACTTTAAAAACTATTTAAAAAATAATAAAACTACCAAAATACTCTGTTACTAGGGAAAACATCAGTATCTTAAAATCAACTTGTAAGACACAGACAGGATATCTATACAGACCACACTGGAAATGACTGACAGTACTTACTGCAGCACCAAACTTCTGCTGGAACTGATCAATGACTGTGTATGTCACCTCCTCTTCCTCTACAAGAGAAGGATGACATTGAATGTACTTGTCTTCCCTCGAGAAGAGAATGGCCCTCCTGTTAATTTTAGATATACTCAAACCACTCAGCAAGCACCTTTACCCACTGACCCATCTCAAGTCAAGCACTTTGAAAAGGTATTTCATAACAAACAGTAACAATTTAAAGTAAACGAGTCCTGAAAAAGAACAGTACCCACATGGTTGGAGTTCTCTAAATCTTGCTAATTATTAATATTAGTTTTTCTGAGACAGGGTTTCATGTAGTTCAGGTTAGCTTTGAACTCACTAAGTAGTTGAGGATGTCCTTGAACTTCTGATTTTCCTGTCTCTACTTCCCCAGTGTACTACCACATGTAATGATAATGGAGATGGAACCCAGCTCAGTGTTAGTGTAAGGCAATCATCCTATGAACTGAGCTATGTAGCAGGATAACTTCCTGCTACTGCTACAATGTATATGCAGTGGAGCTTGTGACTGGGCAGTATGAAAGGCAGACAGAGTGAGGAGTTGGGAGGAGAGGAGGAAAGAGAGGAAAGGGAGGAGAAGAAGGAGGCTATCGACCATGGAGGAATACAGATGGGTCAAAAGCAGTCCTGGATAGCAACTTCTTTCAAAAGGTTAGATATTGGGTAACAATTCTAATTGTATGGGCATCTTGTTATTTGAGCATTTCCAAATATATAAATCCATTGGATAATCTTTACGCATTAGGAGTCTTTATTCTACCGGGTACCAGTGAGGATGACGGAAATTGTCTGGGGTTCAGCTGAGCTTTGTGGATGCAGCATGGTGGATTGGCAGAGCGATCCCCCACACCAGCATCTTGTGGGTCTAGTTATGGCACACTTGGCCTCTGGCCACTGCTAGCTGTGGCGAACATGGCTTCTGGCCACTGCTAGTGTAAAACATGGCGGCCAGAGCTAAGCAGAGCCGCCCTGCAGATTAGATAGCTCGCCCACGCAGTGGCATTTTCTAAATATCTCCTGTTACAGAGCTACATCCCTAGACCCTAACTTAAGATTTCTTTTTCTGTGGTTGTCTTGATCATGGGTGCTATTTGATTGCTGTGAAGAGATACTATGGTCAACCCAACTCTTATAAAAGAAAGCATTTATTTAGTGCAATTTGAGAAGGTTTGTCCATTATCATCATGTCAGGAAGCAGACAGCCATAGTGCTGAAGCAGTAGCTGAGAGCTCTACAAGATCCACAGGCAGAGGGGGGGGAGGGGGGGCAGAGAGAGAGAGAGAGAGAGAGAGAGAGAGACAGAGAAAGAGAGAGAGACAGAGACAGAGACAGAGAAAGAGAGAGATTGAGGGAGGGAGGGAAGGTGAGAGGGAGGGAGGGAGAAACAGACAGAGAAAGAGACAGACAGACAGACTCTGGGCCTGGTATGGGTTTTTGAAACCTGGAAGCCCAAAGGAGACACACACCCTCCAACAAGGCCACACTTCCTAATCTTTCCAACCAGTTCAATTGGGAACTTAGTATGCAAACTTCTGAAACTCCTGGGGGCTTTCTCACGTGAATCAGCAGTTTGGTTCCCAGCACCTGTGTTGGGCAGCTCACAGCAGCCTGGAACTCTAGTTCCAGTGGATTTGATCCTCTTCTGGATTTCATGGGCACCTTCACTCATGTACACATAGACACACACAGACACACACAAACACAATTAAAAAATAATCTTGTTTTTAAAAGATGCATTTTGGACTGTTCAAGATAGTTCAGCTAAAGACTTGGCAGCAGGTGATGTGAGTTAATCTCCAGGGTCTGCAAGTTGGAAGGTGAGTTTGTCCTCTGATTTTCACAAAAGAGCCAAGATGTACAGAGACAGATTCACAGGCACACCCCGCCCCCCACCATCCTTTATTTCCTAATCTCTAACACTGTGGTGCAAATGCCACGATGCTAATGGACAACTCTGTAGGGCAACCACCCTCCCCTTCTGCATTTATAAAGGCTCTCTGATTGACTTCAGCTGGTCTCAAGGTTTCAAAGATTGTCTATTGGCTGACTCTTGAAGGTCTCCATCTCAGATTTCTCTAGGCGATTTTTTTTGTTTTGTTTTTGTTTTTTTGGGAGACAGGGTTTCATTATGTAGCCTATGCTGCCCTCAGCTTACAATCTTCCCAGCAATAGACCATCTGAGTGCTAGCTAGTATCCTGGGCTTTTATTCAAGCAAGCTGGCCAAAACTGAAGGTTTTAAAGTCGGCTTACCACAGACTAGAGTCACTGTGTAACTAATGCAGCTGCTCTCATGGCAGCCAGACACCGCCACTGTGGTACTTCTCCATCTGTGGAGGTGTTTATTCAAGGACCCAGCAACTATAGGTTCTCAACTTCTCAGGAGTGGCTTAGCTATTGTTACTGATTTAACACATTCTTCTCTCTTCTCTCTCTCTCTCTCTCTCTCTCTCTCTCTCTCTCTCTCTC